CCCGGGCCATGGACTAGTACCCATCTGTGGACTGTTAGGAACTGAGCTGCACAGCAAGAGGTGAGTGGTGGGCAAGCAAGTGAAGCTTCATCTGTATTTACAGTTGCTCCTCATCACTTGCATCACCACATAAACTCTGCCTCCTGTCAGATCAACGGCAGCATTAGATTCTCATAGCAGTCCAAACTCTACTGCAAATTGCGCATGTGAGGGATCTAGGTTGCCCACTCCTTATGAGAATCTAATGTCTGAGGATCTGAGGTGGAGCTCAGGCGGTGATGTTAGTGCTGGGGAGCAGCTGCAAATACAGATTATCATTAGCAGAGAGGTTTGACTGCACAATAAATGTAATGTGCTTGAATCATCCCAAGACCATCTCCCACCCCGCCCTCCACCCTGTCTATGGAAAAATTGTCTTCCATGAAACTTGCCTCTGGTGCCACAAAGGTTGGGGACCACTGTTTTCAGAGTTTACTTTGCTGGACAAGATCTTTAGCATACAGATAAAGAACATTCATTCATTTAAAAACAGAATACAAAAGTTTGTATAAGAGAAGAAGAAACCAGTTAGGGAAGACTTTATACTTAAAGAAAAATCCCAGTATTTGCAAAGTAGGGGACCACAGTGATGACCTGATCCAAACCCCTCCTTTTACCAAAGAGAAATCTCAAGGCCTAGCTAGATTTAATGGCTTGATGTTGGGGAAATAAGAAATTGAAACCCAAAGGACAAGCCAATTCATAAATATAGAAGTAGCTAATTATTTATAAGAAAAAATCCAGCATGCATGCAGGTAGTCTACAAGTAGCTACAAAACTATAATGGATTTTCTGCTCTATTTATATAGAATAAAAACTACAGTTGTCATACATTATCCTACTTTTGGTAAACAGCAGTTATTCAAACTGTAGCAGTAAATTAGTCAGCTTACTCTGACTCCTTGTTTTTCACAATTCTTTATCAGGATTTCTCTGATGTTCTGTTTCTTATAATTCTTTATCAATACCTCCTATAGTTGGCTCTGATAGTGCATTTACCTGACAGTACATATAGTTGGTCACATTCTTCAACAGCTCAGTTTCTTACATCACACAAGACCACAGGGAAATGCTGCATCACAGCAGAGATTGAAACCTGGGAATCTTGAGCCTGAGTCCTATAATGCTGAGAACTTGCTTAAAACACTTTTTTCCTTTGAGGCTGCTGCCGACCCCTAATCATTTAATTATAAGTACAGTACCTTCCTATCAAAAAGTTTTGAAATATATGGCTTAAAGTAGTGCTCCTTTATTCCTTTTGCTTCTACTAGAAGTCCGTCATGCAGTTCGCACAGTACAGCAATTATGCAGGGAGGCTCTTCAGAAGCCCTAAAGTCAGCAGTATGGAAATCAGATGGTAAACCTAGTTTGACAGGGTATAAAGAGGAGCAGGGAAAAAAAGAATATGGTCAACTTTTAAAACTTTTTCTAAAAGTTGATAATCAGTTTTCAAAAATACATAAAGGTCTTACCTTTAAATGATGGATTTAGCAAGTCTTGTCTATTTGGGCACATAATGGCATTGGCAAAAATCAGATCCAAGCAGCACAGAAGTAAATGATAAGAGTTTACTAAATCATCCCCAATCATACGAAAATTACCTTTATAAGAAAAAAAGACACAAAAGCCAGAAACCTTTCATGTGAAATAGCACCACGTTACCACAGTAGAAATTTTAGACCATTGAAAATATCAACTTACCCTTAGTATAAACAAAGAGTGTCCAACAGAAATTAAAGAGATCCTTTACACTACAAGGAATCCTTCTAAAAAGGGAAAAAAATATACTTTTTGTCGGAGTAGCTTGCTAAATATCATGTAAATTGAAACAGTAAATATAAACAATAGCAAAGTTAAATTATATATAAAATTCCATTCACAAAGGAAAGATAATCTATGATGTATAAAATGGACTTAAATAAGCCTTTCCAATCTGCATAAAATAATCAGAACACAGAAAAATAAGTAAAAGTATTACCCTCAATTTCCACACATGGATAATTGTACATTTAAAAAGAAATTTAAGTTCTTTGCAGATGGATATTTCTCCCAAAAAGTAGACATTCAAAAAAGCAAATTCTCTTAATAAGTTTGTATCATAATCTTTATGTCAATTACATAAGGATTAAGGGTCTCACCTCTGCTTCCTGCTTCGTGGTAACTTTGGTGGTTCTTCATATGGATTTTGAAATATATCTAAAAAAATTGGCTCAAATTTTTTGAAAATTACAGTCGACACCTCAAAATTTCTCTCTAGCCTTTCTATACGTTCACGGAATTCTTGTGGCAGGTTTGACATGTCCATCCATTTCTTCATTTTACTAAAAAACTGTATTAAACTAAAAAAAAGGAGAAAAAAGGCAACTTTAAAATTCATTCACATAATGGACTGAAAAGGAAACATTCTATTCAAGACTAAGACTCTTTGTCAGAAAACCTACTTTTAGGCCAGATGCAGTAGTACACACCTATAATCCCAGCTATTTGGGAAGCAGGAGAGGCTCACTCGAGCCCAGGAGCTTGGGCTAGTGCACTACAACTGTGCCTGTGAATAGCAATACAGTGAGATCTCATCTCAAAAAAAACCCCAAAACACACACATACATACATAACAACAAAAAACCCATATATATACATAGCCTGAATTTATTAAAATACAACCAAAAACCTTACTCCCAAGTGCTCTGAAATGATTTTGGTTCCCAGGATAACTATGGGGATGTTAGAGTTTGAATTAGTGGTTATCAGATAAAGTGTCTTCTACGTACACACTTCTTTTATTCCCTATAGCACCTAGACAGTAATCTGCATGAAAAAATTAAAAAGTAAATGTCAGTTAACAGATTGACAGGTTCACAAAATTAGCTTGAGGAAAAACAGAAGTCTCCCAAACGGAAAGACTTTTTCCCATTTTCCAAATAGGAACTTGATCACAATGCACCAGATTGTTACAGGTTAGGAGTAAAATTCAAGTGTTTGAGTTCCAATGTATGGTTCCACCACTAAAAGGAAAGAGGGTAGTATATACTCAGAAAATCACTTAATAGATTATTATTCTACCTGCCTGGCTTATTCAATTATAGGTACATTTTTATGTCTCTATGTTAGTGTGGTCTTAGATTGAAAACGTGTAGTGTCAAAGTTCACTTTATTGTCTAGTAATATATACAGAATAATACTTGTAATTTTTTTAAAAGATGATAAAAGACATTAACCCCTAATTGTCCATAGGTATTCAAACTCTGGACATGTTGATTGAAATCTGAGACTCTAAGAGTCCCATTAAAAGATTCTTATCAATAGCAGCAAAAAATTTGCCAGATTACTAAATATTTTTCGGCTCACAAATTATATTTCCTTAAAAAGGACTTTTTTGGCCGGGTGCGGTGGCTCATGCCTGTAATCCTAGCACTCTGGGAGGCCGAGGCGGGCGGATTGTTTGAGCTCAGGAGTTCGAAACCAG